ACAATTAATAAATATATTTGTATTTCAATATATTGGGGGAGGGGGGAATAAAGTGGTTAACTTTAAAAATAAATCATGGTTTAACATTACACCCCAGCCCCCTCCCTTCCAAAAAATAATAAGAAATGCTTTACATGTACTTTGCCACATAAGCGTGGAACTTACTCAATATCTTCCCAAGGTAATAAACGAATTTTAAATAAATAGTTTTCAGTTTTAACACGAGTATAATATTAAATCTATAAGTACCGGTTAGGCCAAAAAGTTAAAGACTCGCAAAGACCATAGTTTTGCTTCTTTAAATCGCTGCGGTGTACGCAGGCCACAGACCATGATTTAGCTAGGTACACCACCGCGGTGTACGCAGGCCAAAGTCAATAGTTTTGCTAGGTACACCGCCGCGGTGTACGCAGTGCCGGCCTTAAAAAAATGGACAGTATGGATTATACTACACATAAACTATGGTATGGATAATTTTGCGGTAATTTACCACTTGAGCGTCGGCCAAGAAAAAATCCAGTTATTCCGGTTGGAAGGGCTATTTAAACAACTATTCTTACATTGGAGTCTGTTAATATTTTTGCTTTCGTATAGGCTATAAAGTTATATAGCACAATACTAATACATTTAAATAATTATTACTGCCAAGCTACCGATAAGCCAGGAAGAAAAGGAGACTACAATTATTACTTTTTTTTGGATCCAGATGACGCAGATGACCACACACAGAATGTGGAAAACGTGAATACTCAAAAAGCTTAAACTGAAAAGACAGTTTGGCACAAGAAGCGCCGGTGATCTTTCCCCTTCATTTTTATGTGGATTCATGTACTTGTACCACAACCGTTTTCGTGAAAATTATATTTTTTTAAACTTAATTGTCAACTTGGGGGAGACCTATGCATAAATCCATATTCACACAATACATTATCTTCTATTTCAAAAAAATTGTTATAGTTTTCTATTTAAAAAAAAAATTGTCTATTATTATGGGAATGAATACGTACAACCAATGTCATTAAAAATAATATAAGAATAGTTGTTTAAATAGACCTACCACCCGGAACAGCTGGATTTTTTCTTGGCCGACGCTCAAGTGGTAAATTACCAATTTTGCTGTGT